AACAATTTACTGACTACTCTCCATTTCCCTTGAAGTTCTGCATGGACTGTAGGCCAATGGCCAGTAGACAGGGCTACAGCAGGCCCCAAGACTCACCTGGCATTTCCTTTCCACCTTTATCCCTGTGCCTCATTCCTTATTTACTATAAAATAGACCAAGGAAATGACACGATGACAGGTACAGGCTAAGGACAACACAGTGAAAGAGGAAAGTGTTGTTTGGCTGCTTATTTCTAGATTTTATGTTATGTGAGAAAATGGTACTGATTCTCACACACACACAGATACACACACACCTTGTCTTCTTCCTGCTTTTGTACCTGAAGAATGAGGATTGATGCTAGAAGCTCTGGCAGCTATTTGCAACCATGAGCAGACTAAGAATATGCATGTGGTGATAAGACAGAAAGAGTCTGAATCCCAAGAAATATGGAAGAACTCGTGAGCTAACCCTAAAACTGCCCAGCTTTAGACTTTCTGTGTATGAGACAACAGCCACCCTTGTTAAAAGGCAACTGGCTGCACATTCTGCAATTGGGCCTCAATGTCAGGCAGCATTGAGGAGCCTGAAATGCTAATTGTGAAATGCCAAGACCCATGATTAAGTGTAAGTCAAGGAATTGCAGGGGTTGTGAGTAACCTTCCCCAAAGCCCTAGCAATATAAGTAATGTTTATGTGACTTGAATATGGAATTAGCCAGAGCACATTTGCCTCCCAGGGTGAGTTTTGATCTCCTAATGCTGTTCCTAGTCTCTGTGAGTCTGCACATGACACTCAAAAAATGGACAGTCACCTCTGACAACTTTATTCACAGTCCAGAGCTCTGTCCTGCACTTAGGAGGGGAGATTTTTCAAAGAAAAAGACCACCAGAGGCAAGCAAGCCTTGGTGTGTGGCATTTAATTACAGGGGCCCAGGAATCTCGCTAATTTCTTCCCACCCAGTGTGATGGAGAGAAGCAGATGTCCTGTACCCCTACCTGCCAGCAATTCCCAAAGAAAATATCCAGCACCCATCTGATAAGAAACCTTATAAACAGTTCCAGGCCCCATTAGTCAACTAGGAATACAAATAATTGCTTTTCCCTTCAGAAGCTCCATCTTTTCTCAGAACAGAGGCTGACATCAGCCCCAGACACTGTTGGCTTTAGAAGTCCCTCCCGCGGCTGAGCTGCATCCACGGGGAAGCTAATGCACCCTCAGAATGCACCCCTCAGAATACCCTCCACCTTGACTTCTGGTTACAGTGAAGAGTCCATTAAATGATTTCTCCATGACAGACAGAAGATCTATCCTGGGCAGATCACACAAATAGACTTTCAGGCCTCTCTGTCATTTCCTTCCATGAGCAGGATGTTGCCTGGGGCACCCCAGGCCCTCTCTCAGCTAAACAGCTGACGGTCGCCCCTATGTACAAGATGCTTGTCCCGGCCACCAGGAGTGGTGGTGAACACCCCCGCCTTCGTCCCTCCCCATCTCCTGGGCCCCAGGGATCCACCGCAGGCACTGCGCATCTTGGAGAAGCTCACCAGTGCAATAAGCAGCACATACGCTCTGTTCAAACACAATCGTCATCCGTTCAGAACTTGCTCGCAAACTTCTGAGGCCACTCTGCCTCCTGAAGGCTGGGGCCTCTCCCTCCACTGGGACGTCAGGCTGAGCCAGCCGCCGCCAAGATGCCAGGCAAGGGAGCAAGCACGTGGAGCCCGGTAGTGGGTTGTCTGTGGCTCCTCAGCTCCTGCCCCCAGTCCCGGGGCTGGGCACTCTGACTGCCCATCTGCTATGCTGCTGGCACTGATGGCTCAGCTGAGGGGGCTGAGGCAGAGCCCAGGGCCATTCTCCCCAGAGGGGCACAGGGCTTTCCTGGGCCTGCAGGGCTGACTGAATAAGCAGAGGCTCTCATCCTTCAGATCCCTCAGGAATGTGAGGACAAGATCACCCTAAAGGGGAGGGGGGGCGGCGGGGGCAGGAGCTTCAGGAGGGACAGGACAGTTGTGCTTGATGAGAGAAAAAAAGGCTGAGGCCCCAGTCCACCTGGCTGACCAACCAGGGAGGGAAGAGCGTTCCCTCTGGCCAGGGCCCCCACCCGCTGCCTCCTTGGGGTTTTTGTCTTTTTTGTATTTCCTGCTGTCCCTGCAGGGGACACCACCAAGGACCTCTGAAAACCAGCGTGCCCAGAACCAAGGGGCTCAAGTCTTGCTAGTTCATCTCACCCCAGGAGCCACCAGAGGTAACTCTTCTCTTGCAGTGTCTAACTGGAAGCTGGGTCAGATGTTTTGATAAGCAAAACTGGCCAAAGCTCATTACCGGCCCTTCCCATCCCCTGCCCCCCCCCCAACAAGTGCCCGCCCCTTTTGTTAAGCAAAACTGGCCAAAATCCATTCAGACCCCACCAATAATTACCCCCACCGCCTCCCCATTGAACAAGTATCTCTAGCAGCAGCTAAAGGCCCAAGGGGATTGGCCTCCACCTGCCCCACTTACTGTCAGGTGAGTCCTCTCACCTGCGGAGAAGCATCACCTCTCACTCACCTATGCTGACCCTGTAGGAAATCTTTCCTGCCGAGAAGGCAAGAACCTCAGTCCCTTAGCCCCTGGGCCCCAATATCTTGACCTAGTCTGGAGTCTGGATTAGAGGAGAGCCCTGCCCCTTCTTAACAGATGAAGTGACCCTCAGCACCTTCCTGGTGGGGTGCAGGCCACTGCAGCCTCCCCAGGTACCCACGGCAGGTGCCACACCTGAGACCCCTCACGCCCGGGAGCCCACATCACTCAAATGGCCAGGCCACCCTACTAAGAAGGGCAGCAGGGAGACCAGGAGGGAGGCAGTCTGTGAGAAGAGAGGGATTTGAGATTCTCTTTTATACTGTTTTTCCCACTCTCCTACTTGGGGCCCCAGTTTGCACCACTTATGTGCTGGGTCTGGTCTTGGGCGCTGGTCTCTGGCCCCGCTTCAGCCCGGGGCTGGCTGGCTTTTCTGCAAAATCAGCTCTCAGCACAGCCTGGAAGCAGCACCCCCAAATTTGAGTCTCTGCTCTTCCTTCTCTGGGTGACCAGATTTCACCTCTATGAACTCCTGTTCCCTCCACCCATAAAGAGACTAAATGAGCCAACTCTGATCATAGGCTTGGGGGAGGTTAAATAGGTCCCTGAACCTGCAGGGGGCTCACAGAAAGCCTGGCACCTGCACATACACACACTCTCTCTCTCTCTCTCTCACACACACACACACACACACACATACACACACACTCACTCACCCACAACACCCCATGCAGCCCAGGGAGCAGATTCTGCTCAGGAAGAGAACTTTCTGTTAAAACAAATAATGACTTTGTACGGTTAATCAGCCTGAACCTCCTTCCATTATTTGTTTGTGATTAGATCTGGGTGTTCATCCAATTTTCCAGGTCTAGAATTAGACTTCAACCCGGAGCTAAGTGGAGATCTCAGTGGCTTTAACTCACCTAGCAATAGGGACACCTGGCCAGGTGACAGCCCTCCCAGCTGAGCCCAGCTCCCAGGAGCAAAATCTTCAGGTGACAAAGAAAATCCAGTTGCCTGCATCCTGGGTAATCACGGATGTCATCCAGCCTGACAAGTGTTCACCCAGCAGAGTGAAACAGTATCTGACTCCTCTTCCGCCTCAAAGCCCTGTTGTTAAATAGGGCGTGCTATTTAAAATGTTAGTTTCATTAGTTTCATTAACGTCTAGCATCCTATTATCATCAACAGAAAGCGTTGCTCAGGACGTCTCTGCCTGTGTAAAGGCCCATCCTTTTTGCTTCTTGGGCAGAAACAGCTGCTGCTTCAGTTTCTGAATCTAAGCTCCCAGCTTTGGGGGCAAATAATGACTCGAGGCATTTCATGGAAGCATGTCTGCTATCGAGTGTCTTTCTCAGGTCCTTCAGCCAATAACAGAATTTGGGGGGAGAAAAACTAGTTGAATCTGTCCACATGCAGAGGAGGCCTCAGCCCAAGCCTGGAGGGCCATCGGCTCACTGTGCCTTCCGGGATTTGCAGTCATGGTGCTGTCTGGGGGCTGAGGACACCATACCCATCGCAGGTCAAAGGTCTGAGGAAAATGCCTCCCTTCCTTTGCATCCACAGAGCAAGGAGGCATGAGCCCCCAAGTGCCCACACATCCTCAGCCAGCCCGTGGGGACTCGGGAACATGCCCACCACCGCGCAGCCCCAGCACCCACCCCGCCTCCCATGCAGAGTCCCACGGGTCCTGAGTTTAGTGGTCCCCAGAGCACTGACCGCCCGCCCCCTGCACCCAGCCCCTGCACATACAGATGTACACGCAGCCACCGACAATGGGGTCCAGAGGGGAGGAGGTGGCCTCCTCTGCCTGTTGGCCCGAGTCCAAGACATGTTGACCTTGGAAGGACCTTGGACAGGGAGGACCCAAGCCCTGGCTGAGAGAACAGAGAAGACGTTTCCCCCACCTGCTAGGAGGCCAAAGGAGAAATTTCTCAAACGGTAAGGGTAGCTCCCCTATATAGGTGTCCTTCAAGTGAGACCATCCCATGTTTTTCTTTTTCCTCTGGCTTATTTCTCTGAGCACCATCCCTTCCAGCACCTTCCATGCCGCTGCAAGTGGCAGGAGTATATCTTTTGATTGCTGGATAGGAAGAATGTAGGGAAACCAAATAACAGATGGGGGGGAATAATAAATAAAAAACCAAATGTATCAGGCAACTACAAATCAGAGACATTCTGCAGGGAAGAGCACAGGGGACTGTGGAGACGGTGCACGTGTTTTGCAGGACTACACCTGAGGAAAAGGCAAAATTGGACCAAAATGAGCAATAATGTAAAATATATAACTAAATAAATTATTCTCAAAAAGAAATAACAATGTTTAAAAAAAGTTAAAGGTGCGTTGTGAGTGGTAAAACCTACTTTCTTTTAGCGCTGGAATGAAAGAGAGACTTCATGGATAAAATAACGAAACAACTGAAGAACATTTAAATGTTTATTTTCATGTTAAAAATGATGAGTTACCCTGTGGTTAGAATATACTTTTATGCTGGAAAATGAAGTCACTTTATTTCTGCAGTATTTCCAGAAAAAAAAGGAAAAAGGAAAAAAAATCCCAAAGTCATGAAGTGTAAGCTCGAAATGCTCTGGCAGGCTCCATCCACGACCCCCGAGCAGCGCCCCTTCCCAGCCAACTCCCAACCCCGCCGCAGGGGGGCTGGGCGGGGAGCTCCGAGTGGGACTTCCGTGCACCCACCAGCAAGCGCCCGCGGGCTTTGACTTGGAGGGGCGCTTCCGCATCTCCGCTTCGGTATTGCCCGAGGACAGTGAGAGCTGCGTGTCCTGCCCAGCGTGTCCGCCTCGGGCCACTCTCTGCCAGAGGTCATTTTTGAGATGTGCAAACACCACGGTGCTGAGGCCACGGAGGACCCAGATGGAACCACCCCCAGGGGTCGCAGAAGTTGGGGCAGAATCTCTCCTGTGGCCCTGACACCCAGCCCAGGGGGGTGTCTTTGTGAAGGAGAAGAGGGCTGGTGGCGCCAAGCCCGAGGGCAGGTGCTCCGTGGCGACCAGTGGGCACAGCTAGGCAGGAGGAGTGTCCCCCCAGCATCTGCTGGACACCAGGGACAGGGGCTGGCTGGCCAGTGTGCCCCAGGGGAAGAGGCCAGGAGGTCAGCCCCGACCTGCACACAGAACTAGGACTCACTACTGGGGCCTCTGGCGTCTTTCCTGTGTCTTCTCAAACACAGCGCCCCAGGGTTCACCCCAAAAGAGCTTCAATTCCCGTCACCAGCTTGGGATGCAGCGCAGGAGCCTGGAAACTGGGGTGCCACAGCCGCCACCCCCCCACCCCTGCAAGTCAGCCGGCCTCCAGAGCATCTGGAGCACAGAAGTCACTGCCTGTGACCCCTCAGAGTCCTCGGACTCCATTCTTGGGCTCGGAAGGACTTGCAGGTGCTGACCCCAGCAGTGTCCCGCACAGACCCCAGGAAACCACATTCCCAGTCTTGCAGCTTGGCCATCTGGCTCTTGCTTTGGGATAGAATTTTGAGCTGAGGTCCCACTGGTTGTCGCGTGACCAGCTGGAGACAAGTGGCTGGAATCCACCTTGTCCGGTCTGGTCCGCCAGGACCGTTTAGAGCAGAAAGGTCTCCGTGCAGTTCCGTGGAGCTGGCCCGAGGCGGCATCGGAGCCCCAGCGTGGGTGTCAGGCAACACGCCCGGCTCGCGCTCACCCTGGCTCTCCGGCCCACAGGTGCGCAGGGCGGCTGGTGTGGCAAGGCCCCGCCCACCCTGCCCATCTGGTATTTTGAACCAATGAGTCAATACAAGCCCACGAAGTACCCAGCAGCTCGGGGGACAGTAATGCCCACCTAGTACCCATGGGACCCGTGGCAGAGAGGATCGGCCTGGGGGAGGCCTGCGGGTCACTCGGAGGAGCTGTTCCCACCAATGGGGATCTTTTCGTGGGCTCCCTCGAAGCCACCCCCACTGGACTCCCTGCACTGTGGGGGCTCCTCCAGGTGGCAGCCACCCGCGAATGTTTTTGAAGCCACGAGCCTGGAAGTCTGGCTTCTTCCTGCCAAAGGGCGGTAGGGAGGGGAAATGACTAGAACATCTCCAACTTTGCTCCCCAGCTCTCATTTTAGATGCAAGAACAGCTGGACCCCAATTCTGGGCCCCAGGCTGACCTAGTCACTGCACAAATGAGCAGTGGTTCTATGGGCACTCTGAACGGCCCTGTGCAGAGACCTTCAGAGAATGAGCAGAGGCCTAGCGTAGGCACCCCTGAAGTCGAGGGGCCCTCAGGAGGTTTGGGGAGCTGCTGTGATCACCAGCAGCCCCGCTCTGAAGTGACTCAGGAAAGCGTGTCCGAAGGCCCTGGCTGTGCCTTCTCCTCCAGCTATCCCACCCCCGTAAGAGAGAGTGTGCCCTGCTTCCCCGCTGAAGTGCACCTGCAGCCCCACCCCAGCCAGGAAGCGCCCTCATTTCAGTCCTGGGGGCTTGCTTTTGCTCTGGCCGCTGTGGTGTCCAGTGCCGGGGACTTTCATCGTCACCACTTCTTGAGACCTGGATGGTCCTTTATTTTTATGACTTTTGGGGGAACCCAGGCCTCTCCCTCTGCGTGTACCGGGATCAGATGTGCTTCTCCAGCATCACTGGTGAGGGTCTCGGTGGGCCCACTGCAGGGCAGATCCCCACATGATGGAAAGTTGAAACATTCTTCTGGTAAAGTTGGAAGCTGCATGAAAACACCCCGACACCTCTTCCTTCCCAGCGCTTTGATTCTACATGCAGCTTCAGTCTGGAGATAAACAGTGCGGCCCGTGCAGCAGTGAAACAAATACGGCTTTTTCGAGGTGTTTCTGCCTGAGGATGCAGTCAGAGCCCAGAAATCTTCAAAAGCAGAGGAGGAAAAACCCCACATCTGTGGGTCATGACTTTCCCTGCTTTCTGTCTTTCACGTGACCCTGGAGAGACGGCCCTGGCCGCCCATGTGCTGCCCTAAGTGAACCCCTCGCCCCAAGCTGAAATAGAGGTTCCTGAACAGAGAGAAGTAAGGACAGAGCAAGGACGCGCATTTCAGGCCACCTGGTCCCCGACCGGCAGGTGGACACTGGCAGAGACCTGAACCCCTGTGGCCATCCAGGGCATGCCAACCTCAGCGACTCAGACACTGTCCCATGGTGCTCCACGGACAGAAGACATTTCTGTCCTTTGTGTTTCCAAAAGAATCCTGGAGGCCACAGGAACCAGGAGCAGGTGCAAAAGCATATAAAAATATCGAGCGTCGCTCCTAACAAATAAGGGGCCCACAGTCAGCCACCGTCCGTCCATCTGTCCACACTCAGGCCAAGGGCAGGAAGCGTCCACTGTGCTTTGAAAGGTCTAGGAATAGAAAAGCCAACACGCGAGCCTGCTCCAGTTCACGCAGCTGCCGGCTGAGGTCGGGACGATGCAGGTCAGCGGGCAAAGCCGAGGGCTGTGGCTCTCTAGGGCCGAGCCTGCCCACTGGCCCTCCACCCACGGTCAGGGCTCCACCACCCGCGTGGAAGGGCCCCACTCGCCCCCCTGCCGAGACGCCATCCAGCCACCCCCTATTGCCCACCGGCTCTCTGCCCCGCCGCCCAGAAAACAGAAGGCATAAAGGTGAATACGAACATAAGAAAGGGGTTACAGCGGATCGTGCAGCCTCCCCACGTAGTCCCGGAAGTCCTCCGAGCCCCCCAGCCCCATGTCCGGGCACACCCACTTGATGCTGTCCTCGCTGTCCAGCAGGATGGAGTTGGTGTAGGGGCCGCCGTCCTCCGGCAGGATGGTAGTGTAGGAGGTGAACTTGACGCGCTTCCTCTTGGGGCCCGCGGAGTTGAGGGGCTCGCTGTGAACGTCCTTCTCATACACGTAGTCGGAAGGCCTGAGCAGCTGGCTGTGGAACGCCTTCTGGGAGCTGCCGTTGAGCAGGAAGTTCCTCTCCTCGAACTGCAGGCCCCGGTCCACCATGCTGGTGCACTCCTCTGACGGCAGGGTGACGTCCACGGGGCTCTCCAGGAGCTCCACCTCGTTCCCCAGCCACACCCAGTCGTGGGAGTGGGGGATGTTGCCCTGCTCACTCACAGCCGACCTTTTGTGTCTGTACTTCCAGGCGAACGCCACGCAGTTGACGAGGAAGACCAGGATGGCCAGGCAGAAGACGCACAGCAGCGCGTACATGCCGATCTCCAGGTCAGTTAGGCCCCTGGAGGTCACTGTAAGGTCACTGGGATTGTTGGGTTCCGGGGACTTCCCCTGGGCGGGGAAGCTGGTGAAGGCGTCGGGGCCGCCGCTCTTGAGCGACTTCCGGCCCTGCCCTTCCGAGGACGGCTGCGAGGTTGTGCTTCTGTTGGCGCCTTCCTCGTGGCCCGCGGAGGTGCCGGGCCGGGGCCACTGCTGGACGGCCCGCTCCTGGCTTCCCTCGCGCTGGATGGAGTTGCTGAGCTGGTCTTTGTACTCCCGGTGAATGTCCTGGATGTCGTTGGTGCTGCCTCGGTGCTCACCCAGATGGGGCTCGAATTTGACTTTGACGTTTCCTTTGCCCACGGCAAGGACACTCTTCCTCTTGGTCTTCTGACAGGGCTCACTGATCATCATCTCCAGCTTGATCAGGGGCCCCTGCCCCTCGCCCTCGGCCAGCACCACCGGCCATCTGGACTGGAGGTTTGCCGGGACGGACACCACCATCTCATCCAGCGACGAGACGGTGACGGAGAAGTCCTTGGGGTCGTAGATGTCCAAGGGCGTCGCCGAACCGTCGCTGAACAAAATCCAAGCGCTGACTATGGCTTCCTGAGGAAAATGAAAACGAAGCGTTAGGTTATCGTAGGGCTGCTACGAGTCAGCCAACGCATACAGGACTTCTGTGGGTCACTTAAATCTACAGACCGACGGAAACAAACTTCCATGTTTTATAATCTTGCTGCTTCCAGGCCTGCTCTGAGTGAGGATCGATACTGGGGCCCGGAGGCAGTGAGGAAAAATAATAGACTTTAATGAAGCCGTCCAGGTCTGTATTAATTTACCGCATGGCATACAACGGAATTTGACTTTGACCTTTCTGAAAAACATCTGAAAGACCAGGCCATGCATCTGAATCAATGTCAGACGCAACTGACCAGGCCACCAGCGAGCACATCGCTTTGAACATCCTTTATTAAGAAGCCGGCGCTGACGGAGCAGAGCGTGCCAGCTGGGAAGACGGGGACACTGGCCGACTCGAGGACACAGCATCCTGGGAGCTCCAGAAATGACCCGCAGACGTCACTGAGGTGGAGACGCACTTCCGAGCTGGTGACATGTGTCAGGAACAGCGGCAGTTTGGCGTCTGCTCACTCTGTGTGTCCAAGCAATGGAAACGGAGCTCCCAAACCACCCACTTGAGCAGGAGTGAAAATGGGACCTCGGATCGGGGCTGAGTCATACTGTAAAGGGCACATTGCAACTTGGACATTTAGGGGCGTGTAGAGGAAAATATGTCAGCACCCGTGAGCTCTCCCTGAGCTGGCCAGGCCACAGGGAGGAGAGAGTCCCTCGCCCAACACCAAGGACCAGGGCTCCCCTGAGCTCTGCAGGGTTGGGGAAAGCCGCCCAGGTGGGGAGGATGAAAGGACTTGGAGCCCCACCTGCTGTGGAACTTGGAGGGCATCCTGGGCGGCCACCGTGGAGACCAGGGCCCGTCTGTCGGCTCGGTGGGGCTGCAGGGAGAGGGACAGGCCGGCCACCAGCTGCACGCCCAGGTCCGCAATGGTGACACGGTCATCCAGGACGGTGACCGTCTTCTCTGCCAGGATAGAGTCAGAGAGCGGTGAGAGGACCTGGAAGAAGCAGAGATGCGCCAGTCACTTCAGTCTCTTCACAGTGGTCTCCGTCCTCTGCTACATGAACCGCTGGCGGACTCTGGCTGCACGAGCCAGGAGTGGTGCTCATCACACTTGCCAGGGAGGGGGCATTAGCGCAGCACTGTGGACGGCCCCCTCCCCCCACCACGGTCATGCCATGATCACAGTCAAGAGGAGCTTGATCTGATTAAAAGGCAGACTCTCAAAACTGTCTGCCTTGGAAGGGGAGCAGCCAAGAGTGACATTTGCCCAACAACAGACACCTGGGGAGAAAAGCGGCAGGCTGTGGGGAGCCCTTGGAAGGAGCACTGGACCAGCTGAGGGCACAGCGAGCCCGCAAGGAGCCCTCGAGGAGCAAGGCGGGGTGCCAGGAGCAGAGTGGCCCCGGGCGAGCAGACAGCAGGGCATAGGCACTGCGCCCTCCAGCACAAGAAAGCACCCACCACTCCTGAGTGGGCAGCTGCCCTGGGCTCCCCCCATTGACTTCAGCTCTGTAATCGAACCCAGTAAGCTGCCCCAGACTCCTGGCCCACTGCATTCTGACTTAATCCGTTAATGTTGTTTTGAGTCGTTGTTTACAGTGATTTCAAAAAGTATCTGCAATACACAGCAGTAAGAGGAAATCTGAAGGATAATGTGAGGAATCCAGCATTGTCCATGAGAGGATACCGCACACGTGGTCTGCAGCCGTGATGGACTACTACTCAGCAAGAAGGAAGCCAGCCGGGGGCCCAGAGGGGACAGCTGCTAAGTCACACACAGACACCTGTGGCCTCACTCACACATGGAAGGGAAGAAACACGCCAACAAGTGTCCGAGTAAAACAGAAATAACCTTTTAGACTGTAAGACCCATTAGTGGAGGGAAGAGAGAGGACAAATCCCGTGAAAGCGGTAGGTGGTACAACAGGGAACGGAATTAGGATTTCCATGGGAACACAGTGTAGAGTGTATAGACATGGACTTATAAAAACGCACAGAATGGCACCAGCCAGCACGACCTCAACAGAGTATTTTTTTTAAATTCAGCTCTGTCAAACATTTACTTTGGTAACACCAAAAATATAACCTGATTAGCTATGAACTGTAACATTTTTAAAAAGTATTGAAAAGATAGGCTGAATGATTTTTGCATAATTACCCTGTCAAACTGGCTAAAAATACTGTTACTAGAACAAAAGAGCACTTAGCTGTGGATTTTTTTTTTAAGTATTTTTAGGACAAGTGTCTTAGAAAAAAGTTGCCCACGGCTCAAGGTGTGCTAAAACCAGTGGTTAGCCCTCGGGATTAGGAAAATAAAAGGTCCACGTTTCAATATCTGCCACCTGACGTGATGTGTACAGAAGACCCGTTCGGGGCCAGCATGCCTGGCTGAGCAGCGCCCCACATGCTGTAGGGTGCCAGGATGCAGCCGAGAGCATCGAGTGTGACGGATGTTCTGTGGCTCCTCGTGGCTCTCTTGCACACACACTCACACGCTCTCACAGGCACACTCACACACACATGCTCACATGCACTCAGACACACACCCACTCACTCGCGCCCACACACTCAGACATACCCACACACTCACACACAATCACATACACACACTCACAAAACGGACTCACACGCATGAACTCAGATACACAGGCACTCACACACATTCACAGGCACGCACCCATGCACTCACACACATGCATTCACACACACACACACATGCATTCACAGACACACACATGCACTCACACAGGCACACGCCATGCACTCACACACATGCATTCACACACACTCACACACACATGCATTCACAGACACACACATGCACTCACACACATGCACTCACACACACATGCACTCACACACGCAATCACACACACATGCACTCACAGAGACACACACTCACAGGCACACACACTCACACACACCCACACACTCACCCCCACACCACGGCACCCCGCGGCCCGGGCCCGGGGTAGGTAGCCGTACCTGCACAGTGGTGATGCCTGGCTCCCGGCCCACCAGCGTCCTGCCCTCCTGCAGCTGCGCGACCTTCGGCTCCTCCACCTTCATGGACTCCGTCACCAGGTCCGTGATGTCGAACTGCCAGTCGGGGCCCAGCAGATACCGCAGCTGCCCCAGGTCGGGCGCCTCGGCCACGAACTGGGTGAGGACGCGCACCGAGGCATGCTGGTACTGCAGAGAGCAGCCGCGGCCCCGGCGCTCCTCGTCCTCCTCGTCCTCGCTCTCCCGCGTGGGCCTGCACAGCGGAACAGCGCTCAGCCCGCCTGCGCGGCCACCCCGGCCGGCCGTGGGGGTCTGCACGACCCCCTGCGGCCCCCGCTCGCCCGCCCTCACCTCCTGTTGGCGGCCACGGGGATCCTCCAGCCCTTGATCTGGCTCAGCTCCGTGTCTGAGATCTCGATCTGCAGCGGCAGTCGGGGCACCCACACCGTGACCTCCAGCTGCGAGGTGAAGTGCTGGTGGGTGAAGTTCACAATCGTGTCCACCTTGCTCTTCATCTCCTTCCCATTCACAAAAATGGAGTCACAGTTGTTGGAAACCTGGGGAGGAGAACCTGGAGCTGCGCCAGCAGGAAAGCGCCAAGGGAAAGCGCCTGCAATTTGGAGGCATCACTGACACCCTGAGAAGCAGACGCTGCCCGCGCTGCCAGACACTCGCAGGCCAGCCAGGCCAGCAGAGACAGAGGACGTGCTGGCCAAGACTGCCCCCAAGACCACAGGATGCCCCCTCGGCCACAGGTCTCGCTCTGGCCCATCATCTGCAGAGCTCACAGGCAGATGTGTGTCATTAAAAAAAAAAGGACTTGGCCCTCCTGGGTGGCGCAGCGGGTTAAAGCACTGCACTAAGAAGCTTAAGCCACTTCCGCATGAGTTCGATCCCCGCCTGCCCCAGAGGTGACCACATGGCGTGGCAGACCTCTCCTGACCCGCCCCCTGCTCCCCTCAGCGGTATACTTCGTCGATCTGCCTGTTCTGCTCCCCACTCTGTCTCTGGTGAATCCTCTCACCACCCCTGAGCCTCTGGCCTGTACCCCAGTTCTGTATGAATAAATAAATAAATCTTAAAAAAAAAAAAGTACTCAAGCCATAGAGAGGATCGTTCTGGAAAGCCAAGAGGAAGAGAGCGGTCCTGCCAGCATGGTTCACTGCCTTCCCGGAGGCACCAGGGTCAGGAGTGGCCCTTGTCGCCCTGGGGCTTCCCCCTGGGGCTTGTGGTCACCCCTGCAGGGAGCCGCGTGTTCAGGGCGTGCTGGCCTGGCCCCTCTGCCCGACACAGCACGGGAGGCCTGTCCTGAGCAACCTTTCCGGGCAGCCCGGGGAAGACGGGAGGGCTGCGCTCGCCACCAAGGGGGGCACGGACAGAGCCACCACCCCACAGGGAGGCTGCAGCCAGCTTCGTCCGGGGCCAGGTGGTGCCTGTGCCACCTCTGCACCTGTGTGAGGGGGAGGCCTGCGTGCCACACTGCCCATCCGTCTGTGAAACCAGCAGCCGACTGCAAGAGGCTGGGGTAACACACGTGTCCCATGGGGTGTGTGTGTTCAGGATCGTCAGTTGTGAACCAAGACAAACCCCAGAACTCGACCGCGAATTGAGGCTACTGGGAAGACGGTGGCACAGGGTGGGCTCGCAGGGCAGTGCTGGGCACTGCAGGGGTCTCAGCGGTGGGTGTGAAGTCCAGCTACACCAAACACAGCATTGTGAATCAATCCACCCAAGAAAGCAAGGCCCAGGGCCACCAGGGTGGTGCTGCAGTCGTTTCCATGTTCAGGCCTCCAAAGGAGGTGGACAGAGGGCCTCGCTGTGGCACAGGGGACGGTGACTGCCCTGGCTTCTTCTCGTCACTGAATGGGACACTCAGAAGTGCCAGGGCGCTGTGTTTTGTGGCAGGTGTTCTGCACAGTAAGACTCTGGTAGCTCTGCACTAGAACACAGCGGCCCCCTCTCCCTGCATGGGGTCTGTGGGCAGCAGTGCTCACTTGCCAAGGCTGGCACAGAAATCCAGCACCTGTCCTTGCTGTTCCACCCAGGAGCTGCCCCTCCTTCAGACAACAGGACACTGTCCCTTTCAGAAAAACGCCGCTCCCCACTGGAAGCTTGTCCTGTCCCGAGTGGGCAAATGGTGGCCTGACCACAGGTGTCTCCATCCCTTGGACACTGTGCCTGCATGGAGGGCACAAGAGAGACTCAGCTCACAAAAGCAGACTCGTCCCCAGATGTTGTTGGAAAGACTGGAACAGACACACCCTTCCCGGTTTGAAGGTGGCAGGTGTGAGCCTGGAGCTTCCAACAGCCATCCTGCCACCAGAGAGCACCCCCAGGGGAGGAGCAGAACACCCCAGAAAGCTATCTGAGAGGAAATGCTGTCTGAACCCCTGGATCCAGCCGCACCTGCACCCTAGCTTTTCCTCGCTGTCAGGTGATACTTTTCTATCAAATCAGTCTGAGTTAACTTTAAGCTACTTTCTGAAGAGGAGCCCTGAGTTGCTTTGCAGAATTGCCATATGCCCGGGGAGATTAAATCCCCTCCTACAGCGAGAATCCCTAGGCCACAGCAGTGTCCCTGCCCCAGAGGATCCCGGATGATGCTGCACTTTCCCTCATCAGATGCCTCGACTCTCCACATCAAGATTTACCACCCTGCACCCACACGTAGGTACTAGTGTATACATCTTCATCATCTCTGTCCCCTAGCATGTCACACCTGCTAATGCCATGTGACCCAGCTCCTGCACCTGCAGTCATCTGGCCTTCGCACATGGATATTTGCATATAAAATCTGTCTCTTTCCTTTGTCAGTGACCCTTGCAGATGGCATTGCATTCTACAGTTAACTGAAGCAAATGCAACCCAGCTAGGATCACACAATGTCTCTTGTCTCATACACAGGGCACAGTGTTTATGGTTTCTAATACCAGAAAAAGTGCAGCGGGTTAAAGTGCAGCACTATGAAGCTGTCGTCAGCCACTGCAGCACGAGTTCAATCCCTGGCCAGGGAGCTGACCCACATGGCGCAGCAGACCTCCCCTGACCTGCCCGCCGCTCCCCTCAGCAGTGTATGTCAGTCGGTCCACCTGTTCTGCTCCCCACTCTGTCTCTGGTGCATCCTCTCACCTTCCACACCTGTGGCCTGTACCCAGTTCTGGTGTGCATAGGTAAATCTTTATTTTTAAGTGCAATGACATGTCCAGCAGGCAGTGTGTGTGACTGCGCACAGCATGAATGGTGGCTCTGGGCTCGCACTCACTGCTCTCTGCTAGGACCACTCTCGCAGCTCCCAGGTGCCCAGTCCCTCATCCCTTCAAAGTAGCCATCAGTGCCAGTCAAGGGTTTTGCTGTGGCCCCGTTCATTCTTCACGGCCCCTGGGAGGGGGTGGTCGATGCAGCCGCCACCCACTTGCCGGCCACCCAGCGTGACGGCATGACCTTGCCAAGGAGGGGACACACAGGTGGTGCTGTGGGCACTGACAGACTGGGCAGACATGGAGCTGGCGGGTGAAGAGACACGTCGCCATGCCGTGTGGTCTGCATGTGGACCTACCTGCCAGCATATGGCACGGCTTTGGCCTGAGAGCATAAAGGTGAAAACCAGGAGCTGAGCCTTTTCACACAGTGGCAGCGTGAGCCCAGGATGGTGGCCCTGAAACAGGACACCAGGGGCTCACCCTCATAAAGGTGAATATGCAAAGCAAATCACACTCCCAGAAAGTTCTAGAATGAGTCTGGGATGCTGGCTCCAGAACCCTCTGGTCTGGCTTCATGTCCTCACCAAGAGGCTCCCCTTCCTGCTCGACACTCAGGTCCTGGGACATGAGCTTGCTGCCCCCATGACTTCCCACCGTCCAGGCCCATGGCAGGGGGCTGGCACGCTGGAGGCCCACCCAGGAGCACAGTCAGGAAGGCGCAGGCCTGCGGGGCCCCCATGCCCCACATATCTCCCACTCACTGAAAGTCTCTCTGCACCCCCACTCTGAGGAGTCCTCCAGTCTAGCCTCTCAGGGCCTGGTTCTTTCCCATGCAGGTCTGCCACCCTGGTCAGAAGCTGGCAGTTTGCCTGGAACCCAGCACGTGACCCCGGGGCCTACCAGCCAGTGTAGACCTGGCTCCGAACCCCACTTCATCCCAGCACACGCCTCCTCAGAGATATAGTGCCAGAAAATAACATCACAAGCATCTGTGTGTCTAGTACTGTGGCCCCCAGCAAGCTTGAGAGGTCAGTGCTCACAGCATGATTTACAAATTTAAGACCTAAAAATGAAAGCAAATCCCAACAGAAGTGGCCCAGAAAGTTATGCTCTCCCAACCTAACAGTCATTGAGAGTTTTAAAAAGATACAACCCCTTTTTTCATTTTTCAAAATTTTCTTGTTTTTTTTTTTAATTTTAAACCTTTTTTTCTATAAAAATAGCCTCACAAGTCTGTATCAATAGAAGAAAAGACAAACACGATCATCTCGGTAAACACCCCCCCCCCAAAAATGTGACAGAACACCCTGTCATGATAAAAGCATTTAACAAACTCGAAAGAGGGGAAATTTCTCAACAGGATCAAGACCTATATTAAAAAGCAGCTGACATCACACTGCATGGAAAAGAAGTGAATGTTTCTCCCAAATATCAGAGACAGGGCAGCGTCCACTCTCTCAGGTGCTGCCCAGTGTTTACTGGGGTTCTCAGCAGGGTGATGAGGCAGGACAGAGAATAAGCCTTGACCTGGAAGGAAGGCATAGGCCTCTACAGATGACATGGCTCAGAAGCAGTGAATCTAAGAAAGCCACTGAAAACACTATCAACCCTGGGCCCTCCCTGGTAGCACAATGGATTAAAATGTAGCACTATGAAGCTATCGGCAACCACTGCAGCATGAGTTCAATCCCCAGCCAGGGAGGTGACCCACATGGCACAGCAGACCTCTCCTGTCTTGCCCACTGCTCCCCTCAGCAGTGCATTTCTGCCAATCTGCCTGTTCTCCCCATATGTCTCTGGTGAATCCTTGCTCCCCAACATCTGGCCTGTATCCCAGTTCTGGTATACATAAATCTTTAAAAAACAAAATGCTATTAACACCATAAACACATTAGGGCACAAAACCAAGCAGGTAATAGGGCAAACTCACACAATTTATGATAATCACTTCAAAAATGCTTAGGAACAAACTAAATAAAAGGAGGTACAAAATGTGTGCACTGAAAACTTGGGAGAAGTTAAAGAACGCTCAGCCAGGGAGACACCCAGGGTCACAACCAGGACACGGACACCTGTAAAGATGGCGAAACTCCCCAATTTCCTCTAAATATTCTATGTGTTACCTGTCAGAATTCCCAAATTCCAGCTGTCTTTCAGGCTGAAATGAACAAGCTCATCCTGAAATCCAAGATGAAGCAAAACAATCATGAAAAAGAGTCAGAGTCTGAGGATAAATACCACCCGCCACACACATACAGAGTTCTCCACAAAGCTGCCTTAGCGCAGAGCACATACCACCTTCACAAGAAGAGACACGAAGGTCACAGACAGAACTGAAGTGCACACACAAGTTCCCC